TTACACACACACCCAGATACACACATTATATATATATATATATATATATAAATCTTAGCTCAAATATTTGAAATATTTTCTAAAGTTATTTATTAGTTAAACTTGTTAAACTAAACTAATAACTAATAAACTAAAACTAAATTTAAAACCACAAAAAATTGTTACTCGAAATAAAATACAATATATACATATTTTATTTTAGCTATTTGCAAAGGCAACACTTTTTCATTTTAATTTAGTTGAACTTAATGTACTAAAATAAACTGAAAGAAAAAGTTAAAAACAAATGTAGACATATACTACAAAACACAAAAACAAAAACTATTAAAAATGACAAAGACAAAATTACAAAAAAATTTTAAACTGATTCAAACTTTTAATAAAAACTTTAAAATGTCAATGAAAATGAAAGAACACTATTTGAAATATTATGGATATTATTATGGATATATGGATAATAACCTTTACTTGCCATAATTTTGAACCCTTATAAAAGGGTTTGTATCATGTAAAAGTGGTTTCTTTTGTAAAATAAATAGTCAGTGAAAAAACAAATCCCACAGATTTGGAGTGACATGAGGGTGAGTAAATAATGATAGAATTTTCATTTTTGTGTGAACCCTCTCTTTAATATTTAAAACTTAAAATGAATCCATTTTCAGAAACGAGGAGTTTTGTTTTTAAGTCGGCCTGAGCTATAAATCACACGGCAGCATGATTGAGTCTGCGGGTCTCGGGGACCGAGGAGGAGGAATATCAATTGAGTATCACCTGCATAATCTTTGCTTGGAATAATTTCTCTTCATGATAAACACATTCAAGCGTGCTCCACCTTCACAAACACACATATTAAAGAGGCACACTTTGCTGTCAGTTAAAGCTATTTGTTTGCTAATGCAGCAGCACAAGAGGCATACTGATTGAGCACGCCACCCATGGCGACTGCGGTAATGCATCGGTCACCGGGACATTTCCATGTCGGGTTTCATCAGAGTGTTATCCAGCGCGCCGCTGAACACGTGCTGAGACTGAGAACTCGTGGCTGCCGTTTGTCTTTAACAGCGATCGGAGATTGATGCTGCAATTGCTCTGAGCTGCCGAGGGATTTCAGCCATCAGACGCTGGTCTGAGATCACTGCTAAAGGGCAGCAGCTAGCCGGAGGTGTGCAGGTGCTCAAATCCTCTTACGTTTCATTAAAAAACATGATTTGATAATTTCTCTAGCAAACGCTGAAGCTGAATCACAACTGTCAAAATTCCATCAGCGTATCTGCTGAAATGAGTAATCAATTTGTGCAGTATTACATAGCAAATATTGGCAAAACCATTTTAAAGGCAACAGTATACACTTGTACATATATGTATGAGAACATTTATAACTTTTAAATGTTTTTGAATGAAAAAACAAAAACAAAAAAATGTGGTCATACATTTCAATCATTTTTATTAAATACTACTAACAAAACACATAATATGCATCTTTACACTTTGTCATATGAACACCTAGTTAAAAGCTATATTTGTTCGATTCACTTAAAAGAACAGACTTGTTTGAATCATTTGTTTGAGTCACTAAAAAAATAGTGCTGTCAAACGATTAATCGCATCCAAAATAAAAGTTTTTGTTTACCTAGTGTAATGTGTGTGTACTGTGTATATTTATTATGTATATATATAAATACACACACATGCATGTATATATTTAAGAAAAATATGTTACGTTTATATATTAAATATACTTATCTATAATATAAATTATATAAATATAAATATATGTAAATATTTTAAGAATATATACTATATGTATGTGTATTTATATATACATATTAAATATACATAGTACACACAGATATATTATGTAAATTAAAAATATTACTTTGGATACGATTAATCGCGATTAATCGTTTGACAGCACTACTAAAAAATAAACGTTTCATTAGAATCATTCATTCATGAATCAGACCACAGTGTTTGATTCACTACAAGGAACCGACTAAGAGTCATTTGTTCGGAAATTGGACAACTCTGGTTCTGCGGCATGTGTTTGATTTACTAAAAATAATTGTAAAAATCTTATTTGTCTGTTTTCATACTACCTATTTCCTTCCCACTGACAAGTCGGTGTAGTCCTGGACCTTCATGCTTACTTTTTTTTTTTTCTAAAAATAATTTCCATTCAAATCACATCATAAAAATACAAATGAAAAACACCTTGAAAAAATATTTATATTTGTCTTATAAGATCAGGTTGGCTCAGAAGAGTCATTTGTACAGAAATCTGACAACTCTGGTTGTGCTGTATGCGTTTGATTCATTAAAATGAACCGGCTCATAAGAGTCATTAGTTCGAACGACACAAGTTGTGCAATATGTATTTGATTCACTAAAAATGGTTAAAACACACTCTGATGGCAATTATATGTTTGGCGAACTGGTGGCCAATTCGAATGAATGTGTATGATCTCATTTGTATGTTTTCATTTAATCTGTTTACTCCCCTAAACAGATTTGCTGTATCTATTTGATTCACTAAAACATCGCTTAGATAACACACTCTAATGGCGATTTTTAACTACTTTACATTTGTCAAATTGGTTGGCTAATTTATACGATGTTTTTCGTATGAATCACGTAATACAAATTCATACAAAATTGTCACCTTGTAAAAAATCTACATTTTTGCATGAGATCAGGTCGGCTCAGAAGACTCATTCATTCAGGAATCGGACTACTCTGCTTGCTCTGTCTGTTTTGTTCAATATTTATAGCTGTGTTGCGGCGCAGTGGAAGAAAGCATGTGTGACTGTTAATGGAACCGAATGTCATGTGGTCGAATCTGTATTGAAGCCTTACTTTACAACCCTTTGAATTTACAGCAGGTGTCAAGGTCAGTTGAAGAACATGCAAAAATAAATATTAGTTTGAGAAAGCAAATATTTCAAATCATTTACCTGTTTTGTGGGATCCCAGGGTGTGTAGAGGCCTGACAGAGAAAGAAAGACAGAATGATTAATATCATTAGATCTAAGGAGTAATAATTCATAATTGTCACATAATATTCATCCATTTTTATCTTCACTTTGTTGTCCTGTAGGCGGTGAGGAAAGTTTATTGCATTTATTTGCAAGGTAATTACATCATTAGCTTTGAGCAGATGCCAAACTCATCTTAAATAAAAAGACTAAAACTGAGCCTGCCAAACAGTATTTCATATCGTAAAGGAGACAGAAGGCACTAAACTAGATTTTTGACTTCCAGTCAGTTCTGAATGATTCTGAAATAAGAATGGCCAGAAATGCTTTTAGCATATGTGTTGAATCTATATCACTTTATATCACTCAGCATCACTGGCCTCATTCGTATCGGACAAACATCTGTAGTAAAATGTCTAAGTATTAGTATTAGGATAATCAGAAAATTAGGAAGAAATTTTAGGATTATGATCACTTACAAGAAAAATAAATGGAAATGAGCATTTTTACCATTATTATTACAGCACATTGTATATGTGACTCGCGCTATATCATATATTATGTACAGTACTGCAAAAATAATTTTCTTAATTAGCGTTTCTGTCATAATAAAAATGAATTGTTATTAGTGATATTTTCTGATTCTAGTTAATACATCAGAAAACTCATTATAGCAAGATTTGTTTATAGACATACTGTATACCTTCTTGAGATAAACATTTGCATTCGATATTACGTTTATTTTTCAGACTCCACTGACATGTTGTTTTTCTTGTTTTATTAAAAAAGTGCCAATGGGGTCAGAAAAACTGATATAGAATAGTGTGTCTATATTAATAATATTGTATAAAGGACCCAAATTACATCTAACTCAAAATTTTTTTTTTTTCAAATAAAAACAATTAATGAAAAATATTATGACATTATAAATAAAGTTTCTTACTGACTACATTATTTACACGAACAGAAATCCATTTTAATGGTCAGACTGGGTAGAAATAACTGTATAGTTACAACCACACATTTCACTTTTTACAATATGCAAAGAACTACCGCAATACTGTTTTATTCTGAGTTCTGAGTATGATATGCATTTGTGATATGACTGTCTGTGATATGAAGACGGTTGTTTAAGATTCATCTGCAATGTGATTAAATCATGCAGGCCAGAGGTGCTATGAGAATAATGAGTTACGAGTCCGACTTTTCATTTCTCAGTCTCGTACCCGTTTCTTTCAATTGCACAGCCTATATTGTGAGTCTTTGTGCTTCTCTGTGCATGAAAATGTGCACGCATGTGTACGTCTGGATATGTGTATGTGAGCATTTGTAGGGGAGCAAGAAATTTTTTTGCCTACTTAAACTAACAGGATTACATCAAACGCTATATGACCAGGACACGACTTGGCAACGAAGGGCTAAACATAAAGCCTCGGGCAAACGTGCACAGTCGTGGCACTCCACAAGTCCTCCTCCTCCCCCGATGCATCACAAAAGAAGCCATATGGACAAGAAAAAGCAGAGAACTTCGATCTAGCTTGTGTTCAAGGCTTCAAGGATTTGTTCTCTTATTTCTTGATTGCCGCATTCAGACTTAAACACTGAAACGACCTTCAAAAAAATTCAAACTTCAAAGTTGAATGCCACGTTCTGTCAGTGGCCTCATGCGTCCTTGGGTTTCATTCATGTCGTGCGTCTCTCTCAGGTGAAGTCTGAAAGGTGAGTCAGATGGAATCACGAGGGATTCGGGGTGACTGTCAGCTCCGAGTTCTCCAAGACCCAGATGGAATAGAGCCAAGAGGATGTAAGAGAGCTGTCTGCACTGCTGAAATGCCACGGCCCTGATGATATTTCCAACAGTACAGGGAGTCAGAGGAGTATAGTTATCACCTCACACCTGCCTGTCCAGTCCTACCTGAGATGTCAATAATCCTCATAAAAGAAGTGCAGAGAGGAAGACGGACAGTGGATTTGTGCTCTGACTGCTGCACTAATAAGGTAGAGAAATGGGAATCGTAAGGACAATTCTGGTTCCTTAATGATTCTTTTAGTACTCTGGGCAAATTTGGAGATAAGAAATACATTTCTTATTGCATTTACCTCCCTCGGCAGTCTGTTGCCAAATGAGATCATTTCTGATTCCAACAGAAATAAAAGTAGTGAAATTATTGCAAAAGTTGCATTTATGCACTTGGGTGCAAATGCAATCCAATAACTTCTCCTAGTAGGTCTGGGTGATATACTGAATATTTGCAGTATGTATATTCATTATGATTTTGCTGGCAGAATTGCATATATATACTGTGTGTGTGTGCATATATATATATATATATATATATATATTTTTTTTT